AGACATCACGACGGGAGGTTTTTCTCAATTTCCGGCCCCTGGGGGCCCTCGCCGGGCCTCGGGACCGTCAAAAAACGACTCGGGATGAGAAACTGGTGCTGGGTTCTAGGTCGAGACCTCTGGGGGTCGACGTTATGAACAAATCATGAAGTCGGGGGTCTGGGGAGGTGGCGGCGCACAACATCAGGTGGGTCGTGGTCGTCGTCACCGTCATCATCCGAGTCGCACTGACCTCAGTCAACCCAAGAAGCATCATCATACTCGGGGGGCGTCCAGGAGGGGGGCGTGCAAGAGGGGGGGGGCGTCATGGCCGGAGACACGTGGTCGGCCCGGGGAGGGGCCAGTGGAGATGTGTAGCCATCACCCCCCCCTGCCCTCTCGGCTGACCCCGCCTCGCTCGACCGCACTCGCACACAGCCTGAACTCCCGCGATCGACGCCTGCGGCACCGTCACCAGCACCCTCACAGTCTCCGGTGGCGACTCGTGGGATCCTCCCATACCATCCTGTCCGCTCTGGCGAGTCGACACTGTTCGACGCTAAATCGACGCTCATCGGCACTGACGCGAAATCGATAAAGACGCTAAATCGACGATTCGACGCTACATCGACGCTGAGTCGACGCTAAATCGGCACTCATCGACTATTCGAGGCTACATCGACGCTCATCGACGCTGACCGACGCTGAAATCGGGGCCCCAGGTCATGGACTACAGGGCGCGGATCGACGCTCAGCGGCGCCGAAGACGGCACTGCGAGGGCACTCTGGGCCCCAGGAGTCGCCCACGAAGCCGTCGCCCACACACGGCTGGCATGGCTAGCCGGGCCCGGCAGGCGCGAGCGCCGGAGTCTCCCTCCCGTGGCGCCAGCTGGCCTGCCGCTCGCGGTGGAGACGTCTGAAGGGGCCCTGCCTGGGGACACACGATCCAATGGACACAACTCCCAGGATCCCCCACACGTTCTCAGACGTCCTGGGCTTTCGTCTTCCGCCCCCCCCCCTCTTCCCTCATATGTCTGCCTGGGAAATCGACGACTCATTGTGTCTGTGTGCTCTTTCCCTCCTGAATGTTGCAGCACGAGGGGGCACTCCGAGTCAGCGGCTCACGTTGAGTCAGGCATGTCCCTCTACAGGAGGAAAAGTCCAAAATAATACAAAATCGTCTGGGCACGATTCCTCCACTATGTTCAACTATCCTGGAACATTCTAAAACTATGTTTTACTTCTCCTCCTAGATCCGCCTGGAGGGGGGGGGGCATGCCCGACCTGAGGCTCACGCCTGGTGCACGCCGCCAGCGAGACGCGTCGCACCTCTCCGCGCCAGGGGTCGCCGGGGCCTGCCCGCACCTCCCCGGAGCACACTCACAGCCACAAAGATCCGGATTTGACCACATTCTCGCAACTTTACTTGCATGGACGCGCGGGGGAGGCCTGAACCGGAAGCTAGCCGACTTGACGTGCGGAAATCATGCAAGCCGAAAGGCACTTGCACGCTCGTGCTCGACGGGAGGGGGGCGAGGGGGAGCGGGGGGGGGGGCGAGCGCCATGCAAGTAAACTTGCCTCTGAGTCTGGCGAAAAACAGGTTCAAACACGACGCCGATCCGGCACTGGGCCCCCTATAGCACGCTGAGGCGTGGTACTCCAAATCCCTTCTTGATCGTCCCCAGGGTCCGATTTTTATTAGACGCCTTTTTTGTAACTGGGTGGGTCTGGTTTATTAGGGCGCTTTCTTTGGATTGGAGCTGAGGGGATCTGGTTATTACGGCGCCCCGTGGAAGAGGAGGGTCCGGAATATTAGGTCGCATTTGGAGGGGGGTCCAGTTTTGTAGGGGGGGGTCGACTGATACGGGATTTGGAGTATCTGGCAGGGTTCTGCATGTCTTCTTAGACATCCCCCCCCTCCTTCACGCCCTCCAGTTGCAGCATCGCCCCCCCCCCACTCCCGAGGCCTCCTGGGCGGCCCGACGGGGGACTCTGCACGTCCACGTTCCAGCACCCTAGGATGGGGGATAAGCAGCGAGAAGCTGATGCATGGGAGGAAGAGGAGGAGGAGGAGGAGGAGGAGGAGGAGGAGGAGGAGGAGGAGGAGGAGGAGGAGGGCGTACGGCTCCGCCGCGCTGGGAGAAAACCACACGCTCTTCCGCGCGGAAAAGGCGGCGGGCACCGGGGCTCTCGAGGGAAGCGCGCGGCGCGCGGCCCCCCTTCAGAGCCCCGAGCACTCCCCGAGGGGCGGCCGGCTCTACGGAGGGAGCCTTGCCCTGCCCCAATAAGAGCCACTCCCGGGGGGGGGAGAGCGCCTGCCCGCATCCAGGGCCTCGCGGGCCGGGCCACGAGGCCGCTCAGCCTGGTGGCTACGGAGTACACGGAGCATCTGGAAGGGGCCCAGGGACACACACACACACACACACAAATAGATACACACAAGTGACAGCATTCCCCATCGTTTCCTATATGTTCTGGTCTCTCGTCTCCCCCCCCCCCACTTCCCATATTTTCCCATGTTTCCCCGGGGAGTCGACGATTCAATATGTCTGTGTGTTTCTTTCCCTCCTGAGATAAGCAAGACGAAGCCGGAACCGGGGTCAAACCTGGACCAGGACAACTCAGAAAGCTCTGCAGTCCAGTGGTTCTCTGGCAGATGCGCAGGGGCGCCGCGGCCGTTCCAGGAGCGCCCTCCAGCGATCTGGGAGCGCTCGGGGGCGCTCTGGAACGAGTGATCCTGGTCCCCCACCCGCGCGGAACGCATCCATGCGACCGCGTATCCGCCAGGGGGCCACATGCGAACCCTACCCCTACCCCCCCCCAAGACTTCTGAGCGAAGCGAACCCCGCCCTCCCCCTCAGAAGTCGTGGGGGGCAGGGGCAGGGCTCGCATGTACAGCCCGCTGTCCACGCGCCCGCGCCCCAGAGCCCCGGCCGCGAGGGCGTGGATGCGGCTCATTAATTACGTTCGCCGCTCGAGAGCCGCGGCCTCGCCTCTGGGCGGCGCGCGAGCGGCGAGCAACTCAGAAAGGGGCACGCGGCCCCCTCCCTGCCCCAAAGGGGGGGAGGTGAGGAGGCAACGCCCGGGAGGCCTTAGACGGCGAAGGGCAATTCAGCCCGGCGGTCGACTACCTGCGCACCTCTGGCGTCGGGGAGGCCTCCTCCGCCTGCTCCTCCTCCTCCTCCTCCTCCTCCTCCTCCTCCTCCTCCTCATTAAGCCGGATTCGCCCAAATCCAGCCGAATAGTAAACGGGATTCAGCGGGATGCAGCGGCACTGTGCCGAACGCGGACCGCTTCCGGTCACGGATATATATTATAGGGTCCCAACAACACCTAATCCTTGCCGGTCGCTTAACCTCTGTATGAGGACCTCAACGGGACCTTACGACGACCTCCACGGGACCTTAACAGGACCGCCACGGGACCTTACGACGACCTCCGCGGGGCCTTCAAGAGAGCCCCACGGGGCCTAAAATCACCCCCGAGGGCTCTAGAATTGCCCCCCATGGGACCTTAACTTTTGGCCTCCGCGGGCCTCAACTTTGGGCCTTTTGGCCATTATTTCTCGGGCCCCATGGCCCGTCACTTTTGGGCACCTCGCCCACCGTCGCACTGGGGGCGCGCGACGCGGCAAAATCTCACAACGTCCACGGCAGGTGGACGCCCATCCTGCCTCGGGCCGCGCGGGTCAAATTCCGCCCGTTGCGTCGGCGTGCCGCGAGAGAGGTCGCACTTTGCATTGGCGTTTTGTTGCCAGGTCTTGGCTGCTGCGTGCGCGCGCGCTGCCATGTGCGAGTCTGCGGCCGGCGGCGTTCCAATAACGCGCTGGCTGGCTGCAAGCCTACAGCTAAAAAGGCGCCCACAGGAACATTGCAATATCGGCGGCGCGCGCCGTAGAGGACGGCCGCCGCCTGAAACCCGCAGAAATGGGTAGCCCTGATGTTTGACCGATCCGGTTTGCGAGAACCGCCTCGATCTGAAGTTACCGCCTTCGGCCAGCGAAAAGCGTCTCGATAGTTAGGAACTCGCCTTTTCGGCCAGCGAGAAGCGTCTCGATAAGAACTGGTTTGCTTTCAGACGCGCGCCTGGCCAGCCAGAAGCGCCTCGATGGGGGCTGGCTTGTTTTCAGACGCGTGCCTCTGGCGGTTTTTAACCCCGCGGTTGGGTCCGCAGGCATTTGCCCTAGTGCAAAAAGAATCCTCCTCCTCCTCCTCCTCCTCCTCCTCCTCCTCCTCCTCCTCCTTGTCCCCTCCCCCATCCTCCCCCTCCTCCTCGCCCTTCTCACCCCCCTCCCCCGCCCCGCCTTCCCCCTGCCGCCCCCGTCCCCCGTCAGCCCCGCTCCACCCCCCCTGCCCGGGGCGCCCCCTCGAAGGCGCGAGCGCCGGCCTGCGGAGAAAGGGGGTGGCAGGGGCATGCCCCCCAGCGAAGCTGGGCCGGAACGCGACCGCGCCCGGCAGAGGCCCCACAGCACGGGCGATGGAAATGAGACAACCAACCTCGGGCGACGACGCGGGCGGAGGAGGGCGGTGGAGGGAGGGGGGACCTTCCTGTTTGATTTTCGCTTCTTGGGGCGATCCAAAGAACAGGAACTGTCGTCGGCCAGCAACCGACCCCCGGAATTAACCTGAGGCGATGCTGGTTCCAAGTCAGCTCCAACGAACCCGCCAGGAGAGGGAGGGGGGAGCGCGGGGGAGAGGGGCACGAGGAGGGAGGAAAATGGGGAGGGGGAGGGGGAGGAGAGAGAGAGAGAGAGAGAGAGACAGAGACAGAGACAGAGACAGAGACAGAGACAGAGAGAGAGAGAGAGAGAGGGCGGACGGAGGAAGGAGGAAAGAGGAGGAAGGAGGGAGGGCGAGGATTAGTACGACCACGCGGAGCAGCAGGAAGGACACCTTCTTTCAATATCTCTGCCTCCACCCACGCCTCGGCGTGGAATCCCCAGGGCCAAATGGCCAATCTCACGCGGCGCCCGAAGCCCTCCTTCGCGCGCCGCGCGGCTCAACCTCGCGGCCCTCGCCAGCTAGGCAGCCGTCTCAGCCGTCTCCTTCTCGACCTCCGCCGCGAGGGCCGCAATCTTCTCGTGGGGGTCTGCCTTCTCCTTGCGGGCCCCCGCCCGCGCTGCCTTGAGGAGCTTTTTGCGCGTCTCCTCCGGCTCCAGCTGGCGGAGGGCGGCCGTGATGAAGATGTTGTTCACGATCTGCACCTTGACCGGGCCGATGCTCTGCTCGCCCTCGGCGTCGGGGTCCATGAACTTGGAGTACTTCTGGAAAGCGGCGTCCATCTCGATGCCCATCTTGGTGCAGATCTTCTCGGCGACGGCCCCCGCAGACGCCAGCGCCCCCCAGGCGTCGAAGAACACCTGCGCATCTGGCGCCGAGACCAACTCCCACAGCGCCTTCCTGTCGATAACGTCGGTCTCCAACAGCTTGGTAATATTCGCCTTGTTCTCCGTCGCGCGCTGCGCCAACACGTCGCAAAGGAGGCCCAGCTGCGACGAGATTGCATTCGTCAGGGCGGTTTCTGGGGCCTTCGCCTGCTGGGCAAAGGCGAGGGTCTTCTTTTTCAGGAGGCCGATCGCCTCGATCTGAATCGCCTTCGAGCCCTCCGGGATCAGCGCCTCGACGTTGAGGGACAGGTCGTTCACGGCAGACTTCAAATTGAGCGCGACGGGGACGTCCCTCTTGAGCATCTGTTCCATCGCGTCGCTAATCCCCGTCACCTCGGTGGCCACAACCGCGTACTCTTTCTTATCCTTCTTCTGGTTCAGCTCGCTGGTCAGCCTGTAGGCGCGGGCAATCCCGCCAATCAAAAGCGCTACCTGCGGCAAGCCGTGGACGTCGCCGAACATTACCTTATCCGTCAGCACGGCGTACTCTGCTGCGAAGGTCTGGATGTGTCTCGCGGCCTCCTTCTCGAACGACTTCGGGACCGAGGACGCAATTTTGTCGAACTGGGTTAGCTTCGCCTTCGTGCTCGGGAGGATGTCTTTCGCCGTGGAGACGTGTTTGATCATGTTCGTGACGGCGGAATCCTTCGCCATCTGGAGCACCCTGGAGACGACTGCTTGCCCGGCAGCTTCTGCCATGTACTTCGCGATGATCTTCCAGTCGTCGCCGCCTGGGGAGTCCAACTGCCCAAGGACGTTGGCCCAGTAGGTCTGCTTGGTGCCGGGCGGCGCCGTCGCGGGCGCGGGGGGGTCGGCTTCGGCCTGCGCGGCGCCGCCGCCGTCAGTGGACATGGCCTCGCCCGCTTGCTCTGGCGCAGCCTCGCCACTGCTGGCCCCCGCGGACGACTGCCCCGTAGGCGGCGACGTAGCCGGCGCGGAGGGCCCGGCGCCCGCCGCATCGCAGACCGCGCCAGCCTCCCCAGCGTCGCCATCCGCGCCTTGGACCTTGCGACACCAAGTGAGGACTGCGGCCACTCCTGCGTCGTCGAGGATCTTGCTCATCTCCAGGTCCTTGGACTTGCGCGGGGGCTTGCACTCCGCCCCGGCAGAGAGCGCCCGCGCGCGGCATGCCACCTTGGCGGCGGTTTGCAAGCCGCGGAGAAAGTCAATCTTGTCGTCGACCCCCTTGTCGAAGTTTTCGACCACGGGGTGTCCCGCGCCGAGTTCGTTCAAGCGAACGTTCGTGGACTTCTGGATTTGAGCCTCGAGCCGCACGACCTCCGCCTCGATTGCTTCGCACATGGCCTCCTCGTCCTTGATGGCCACCGCGCCTGTCGGGGCCTCCTTGAAAGCGGCCAGAAGACGCAATACTCCCTGGAGGCCTACCTTGTACACGGCGTTCTGATGAGCAACCACCAGGTCGCGGCCAGCGTCGATGAACTGTTCGGCCATGGCGATATCGTTCTTCCTCCGCTGCTTGAAAGCGTCCGAAGCGCCAGCGAGCACCGCGCCCAGCTTCCCGAAAGCCTCGATCCTGGTAGCTAGAGGGCCCGGAGTACCATACCCCCCCGGCGTGCTCAGCGACCCCATCGTCAACGGCGCGGCCTCGGCGACTAGCTGGGCCACCTCGGCCATGCTCTTGGATTGTACCCCGTCGTTGGTCCAGGCCAGTATCAGACCATCAGCCTTCTCTACGATCTTGCCGCCAACGGAGAGTATGTTGAACGGTTTGTACACGGACTTGCTCATATCCTTCACGGCCGCGCGAGCTTTCTCAAGGCGCTGGAAATCTTCATCCGAGACGGCGGCGGCGGACTCGCAGACGACGTTGATGTTCCGAAACTGAGAGCTGATATCTTCGCTGTCGTGTTTGATCTTTGCCTCATGCTTCACGATCGCCCCGGCCCACTCCCCGAATTTGGTCATCGCCGCGTCCATGTCCTCACCCTGCGCGGGGGCCGTGAGCAGGATGGTGCTGGTGTTCTCGATGGTGCCGATCTGCACGCCGCGCACGTCCTCGATCAAGATCTTTGGGCGACGCGCCAGCGCTGCAATTCCCAGGTCGTCGTCGCAGTCGGGCTCCATGGAGAGATGGGTGATCATCAAGTCAAGGTTCCACGGCTTGGCGGCGAAGGCCGCCTGGAACGCTTTCGTAAAAATCGCGGCGTACACGGTGGCCGGAAGATCGAAAGTGACGGGGGTCAGCGCCTTCAGCAACTCCCTCGCCCCGCATTTGGCGTCCTTGTGGCAAACGACGACATCATGAAGGAGGGCCAGGTTCTTCTTCTGTTCCTGCAGATTGGCAATCAAATCCATCGCCGTGGATTGATCCCCAGATGACATCATTACCTGCGTCTTGGCGGGGTCCAGCGCGGTGCCGAACTTGTTGATTTGACCCTGCACGCTCTTTTCCGTCAGTGACGAAAGCAATTTCCCATTGGAAGCCGTGGCGAACATTTGCCGGGAACCGAACAGCAATACCTCAGCATTCTGCTTCTCCTTGTTGCCCTTTACTGCCGAGTTCTTCGTCTTGGAGTCGGGCGGCGGCAGCAAGCTGATAATAGGGATCCCGCCGCTCCCCGCGGCCCTGCTCCCGGCCTCGGTGCCTCGCTTGTCCTTCTTCTCCTTCGTTCCTTTATGTTCGCCGTCCTCGTCCTTTTCCTTCCCTGAAGCCCCTCCTCTCTTGCTCGCGATCCTGGCCTTGCCCAGGATCGTGTCCAGGAAGTGCTCATCGTCGGTCGTGTCCGAGCCTGTCCTCTTCAGCACCTTGCGATCCTGCGCTTTGCCCTTGGCCTCAACGAAGCCTTGCTCGGCCGCATGGTCAACGACTGCGACGCCGCTGGACTTGCAGCGAACGCGTTTCTTCGCACTCTCGAACACGTCCTCTGTCTCTCCGGCCCTGATGTCTTCACTCTTCCGCTTAACGAGGGTGTCCTTCGAAACCGCCAGGCTGCTCTTGTTCGTCAACTTGATGACGCCGATCACCCAGCCCGCGGAAGGCTGCTTCACGATCCCTTGGATCTTCTGGCCCATGTGCTCGATCTCCATCCAGGCACCCTTCTTCAACTTCTTGACCTCCTCGGGGAAGTGCTCCTTCGCAAGCTCCGCGGGCCAGAAATTGCCGAGGCACTCCTCCGTGTTGAAGGCGGACGTGTCCCTGACCTTGACGTCAACCTGGATGTTGTTCAAAGGTAGGTTGTCGATGCTGCGCAGACGCCGCTGCTTCTTTACCCGTCCCGCGGAGCCCTGGTCACCGTCGTCATCTTGCTCCTCGTAGTGGGCCTCCAGGGTGGCGATGTCCTCGTTCCAGAGAGCCTGCTTCTCCGGGTCCTGCAAGCCCTTCTCCAGATCCCCCTTCGTGACGCCTTTAGTGGCCTGCTGCCGATTATACCTGAGCGGCGGATCGAGGCGGGGGGGCGAAGCAGGATGCAGGGGCGAGGGGAAACGAGGGGAAACGAAGAGGAGGGAGATGATCTGAGGCAGTCCAAGGTCAGGCTGTTTTCGAGCCGACGGGCCTGCCCCTCGACCGCCGCCCCCCGGCGAGGACGGGGGGGCTCCTCCCCCGCGGCCAGGCGCGGGCCTAGCGCCGCGGCCGTCGCGAAGCGCGGCGGCAAAACTCCGGAGGATGGAAGGGCAGACGCCTGGGCCTAGCATTGCGCGCCCAACGTCTTGCCGATACCCCCGCCTTGGAAAAAAAACTTACGGCCGTTGGGCGGTCTGGTAATCATACCGGGTATCCCCGGGTAGGTGGCCCTTTGTCGCCGGGCTTGGGAACCGGTGGCTCTGGGTCTGTTGGTTCCCGCACTGGTGGCGGGAAGGGCCCGGGGTTTGCGAAGTAGTGGTGGGGGCCTCGGCCGGCCCCCCTGCGAAAAGCGCCCCCCCCTTCGGGTTTCGGCCCGTTGGGCGCGCCCATGCTGCCCATCCTGCCCGTGGCTCACGGGTTGGGAGTTGGAGCGCGCATCCAACGCATGCTTCCAAAATTGGCCGCAGAGAAGCGTCTCGATAGGAACCGCTGTTTACGGGTTCCTCATCTGGCCATCTGCTGCTACCTGAACTGCTCTGTTCGGCTCGGGACTTTCATTTAGGCCCTCTGGGGCCTCGCTCTGCCCCGAGGAAGTCATGGGCTGCTTGCAGCACTGCTGCAAAAAGAAAAAAACAAAAACAAAAAAAAATCCTCCTCGGACCCCCCCTCTCCGCGTCGCTTCTCCCCCTTTCTCACCGGGGCCCCGTCCGCTATCCCTTTCCTCGCCCCCCCAGCCCCCGCCCCCCAAATCCTCCCTTCCCCTCGTTCTTATCCAAGGCCCTCCCCTCCTCACCCACCTCCCCCTGATCCTCCCCCGATGATATGCCTCCTCCTCCATATTCGCCCCCAGCCTTCAACATTTCGGGTTGGATCCCAGGGTGCAAACGCGGGCACGAAGAGCATTCCAGCCCATCAGGGCGCTTCCAGCCTGGGCACGCGGACCGGAAGCGCTTACAGAACCTGCACTTCGGGTCGTGGCACGCTTCGGCGAGCTCCTCCTTCGCAAGCTGCGGGGCCTGGGGCCGGCAATATTTGGCACAGATCGCGGCGCGCGCGCCCCGATCGACGACGACGGCGAATACAACGACGACGACGGCGGCGACGACGACGACGACGACGACCTGTTGGGCGACGCGTGCAGCCTCGACCTCGAAACTTACCAGAACGCTCACGTCCCATTGTCAATCTACTGGGCGCTAGGGAGCGGGGGAAAAGGAGAGCTGAATGGGAAAGGGGGGCTTGGGGAAGGCTGGGCCCTGGGGGGGCGGCAAACGAAAAGGGGTCTAATTTCAGGTCCAGGAATCGGCGGCGGCGGCGCGGCCGGCGCCGCCCTCCCCCCCCCTCGCGCCGCCCTCCCCCTTCCTCCCGCATTCCTCGCCCCGCCCCTTACTTTGCGGCCCGTCCGAGAACGACATCCATCCACGAGTCCTCTGCCCGACTCGCCCCGGCCGCGCTTGCGGCCGCCGCGGGCCCCTCGGCCGCGGGGCCGCTACCGCGCCCGAGCCCAGCCATCAAGGTCACGATGGCAGCGGAGCAGCAGGCGGCAGAAAAGGCGTTGCCCGCCAAGGAGGAGAGCAAGTTGTCATCGAAAAACTCCTCCAACTCCTCCCCCAGGAACATGCCTTGCAGCCGCATCTTCTCGCAACCGAATAGAGGCCGCATGATGCCAGTGTGAAATAATTTCCCTTTGGGTGTAATTGTGGACGTGACGTCCTCGCCCCCGCTCGACGCCTCGACGCCCCTCCGCGCCGCCTTAGTCCTGTCCACGCGGCCAGCGCTCTGGCCTACGTCCATCAAGCGCGGGTCTGCCTCTGGGAGGGCCTTGCACGAGGACATGAGGATATCCACCTCGCGGAGCGACAAGGAGCGTAGAGCTGGAATGCTCCTGAAGCTCTCTGGGGAACCGACTCGCACTTGGCCAGCTAGGAGCTCAGTCTGTTCGTTCCAGCGGGGCCCATAATACCGAGCGTGGCCTCCTGTCCACTTGAACTGCTTCCCGGTCCGCTTCACCTTGTCGACGTGCAGCTGCAGGGGCAAGTCCAGCGGCATCTCAGCCCAGACGCGGTGGAAGTGCTTCGACACGGGGTGGTTGTTGGGGACGAGGAAGTCTTCGAACTTCATGACGGCGTGGCCAGACTTCAAGATACCCATCGCGGTGTCCAAAATTTGCACTAGGCGCTCCTCGGTATCGCGGACTGCCGTCCTCAGTACGCAAACGAACCAGAGCCGAGGCCGATCTTGAGGGAAACCAAAATCTAATGGGTTCAGATCGTAGACCCGAGTGGTGTACCCAACGCTGGCAAGACGAGCGACGCAGGATTGCATGCATCCATTCCGACGCAGGCCGTGTACGTTTTCCAAGATGATGCCAGTGGGTTTCTTCGTCTTCACGAATTCCACGATGGAGCGGAAGCATTTGCCCGTGTCGCCAATGCCTGTATCGATCGTGTTCCGGTTTGCTTCGCTACTTGCGTCTTTGTTCAGCTGCGACACCGTGGTGCAGGGGAAGCCGGCGATCAACCAGTCCACCGCGGGCGCAGCAACAGTGGAGCCATGCAGTTCGCACCTAGCCGAACCGTTGCTGAGTTCGCACATGTCCTTGAACAGGTGGCCGACGGTCCCACCGAATACCTTCTTGATAAATGCCCGCTTGTCCGCCTTGAGTTCGGCGCTGAACACGTGCCGTGCCAACCACGTTACACCGTGGATCTCCGCGGTTCTCTGCAAAGCCTGCAGGCACCAGATGGGGCAGTCCGTGCCGCTGCACATGCTGCCGACTGTGACGCAGGCGTTCGCCCCCATGTACTCCCGCACGCGATGGCCACAGGGGGTTTCTTCGATCTTGGCGAGCATCGCGTCCATGAGCCGATCCAGGCACGAATCATCGGCATCAAGAGGGGGGCTTGGTGCCGCAGGGGGGACGGCGGGACACTCGACATCGGCGGGCTCGGGCCCGCTTGCGCTGGAAGACATCGCGACCAACGCATGTACTCCTGCATTTGAGCCGAAGGATCGGACGGTGCGCAGCATACCCTCCGCGTGGGGGGGGAGGGGGGCAGTTGGCCTTCATGCGCGGGCTATGGGGTTGCAGGGCAACAGCGCCATGGAAGACAGGGTCGCAAGGGGCGCAGGGCACAAGGGGTAGCAAAGGCCCCAGGGCTGTAGGGCGAACAGGCTGGTCTACTTCAAGCTCTGTGGATGAACTACGAGGCCGTGGGGCTACCATATTCTATTCGCATATGCCGCATGTGCCGCATGGGTTATACGGAGCAGTCGGATGACGCGCCGTAGGCGGCCACGAGAAAGGTGGTATCACGGAGGGGGCACGGGTAGATAGAAAGTGGGCTGGCGCCCATGGCTCAGGGCATACGGCCATCTGCTGGGGCCCAGGGCTGACTGTGGACACATATTTGAAAGTTGAGCGAGCTCAACACAAAAGATTGCACACCGGCCGGGGCCAAGAGCGCATGCGATATGCGAGAAAGCTCTGGCTGCCCCTCCTCCTCCTCCTCCTCCTCCTCCTCCTCCTCCCCCTGCCCCTCCCTTTCCTCCTCCTCCTCCCCCGCCCTCCCCCTCCCCCTTCCGACCTCCCTGCCGCCCCCTCCCGGAAGGAGGGGGGGCGGGCAGGCGCGGTGACGGAGAGGCGCGCCACATGAGCGACCAGTAGCCCTAGCGGCGAGCACGGGCCGGAGCGAAACCCGGCCTGGCAAAATATCAATTTGATCGAGCGACCTCGTAAGTCATCAGCCCAGCCCTCTCTCCTCTCCCTCCTTTCCGCTCTTGCGCCATTCGTCCAAGAGCCCGCCACGCGCTTCTGTGCTGGGCCTGGTTCTCGAGGTCCCCGGAGGTCTCCGGGAAGTCTCAAGAAGTTCCCGAAGGTCCCCAGGGGTCCCCGAAGAAAGATGGCAGCTGGGAGGCAGGGGTGAATGAGGAGGGAAATCCCGGAAAGCTTCCACAAGTCCCCGGAGGTAGCCAGAGGCCCCCGGGAAAGGACGGCACCAGGAAAAGAGGGAGGGAGGGAGGGAGGGAGGGAGGGGCGAGAGGGACGAGGGCGAAAGTGATGCAGACCGTCTTTGGCCCATGGGACGCAGGCCGCACGACCCGCGCGACGCGGAGGCGGGTGCCGAGCCAATACACCGGACTCACTTCTATAGCACTCACTTCTATAGTGCTCACTTTGAAATTGTGGTCCGGAAGGGGCCGCACATGCAGGCACATGCCGCACAGTCGCATGCACATGCCCATGCAAATATACAAAAGCCTCAACAGCATTGCCGCACATGCGCGCACATGCCACACCGTCCGACGCACAGTCGAATGCACGGTCAAGCAAAACTCTGAAAGCATAGACGCACATGCCCGCACATGCCGCAGAGATGTCGCAGGCGATAGTGGCCTGACCACCTGAGCTCGGGGCATTTCGCAACCCAGAGTTCCGAGGATGTCTCAGGCAAGCGTGGCCGGATCACCATGGGGCAGGGCATCTTGGAAACCAGAGTGGCGAGGATGTCGCTGGTCAAGGTGACCAGACGACCATGGGGCAGGACACCTCCGAGGTCTGAGTTGTGAGGATGTCTCAAGCGAAAGTGGCCTGACCACCATGGGGCAAGAGATCTCTGAGGTCAGAGTTGCGAGGATGTCTCTGGGGAGAGTGGTCTGACCACCTCAGCCCAGGGCATCTCGGAGCCCAGAGTTGCGAGGATGTCTCAGGCAGGACTGGCCTGACCACCTGCTCAGGGCATCTCAGAACCCAGAGTTGCGAGGGTCTCAGGCGAAAAAGGCCGAGACACTATGGAGCAGGGCATCATTGAGGTCAGAGTTGCGAGGATGTCTCAGGCAAAAGTGGCCTGAACAGCTCAACTCAGGGCATCTCGGGCGAGGATGTCTAAAGCGAAAGTGGTCTAACCACCTCAGCTCAGGGCGTCTCGGAACCCAGAGTTCCGAGGATGTCTCAGGCGAAAGGGGCCGAGACACTATCGAGCAGGGCATCATTGAGATCAGGGTTGCGAGGATGTCTCAGGCGACAGTGGCTGACCACCTCAGCTCGGGGCATATCGGAATCGAGACTGCGAGGATGTCTCAGGCGACCGTGGCCTGACCAGCAGGGGGCAGGAGATCTCTGAGGTCAGAGTTGCGAGGATGTCTCAGGCGAAAGTGGTCTAACCACCTCAGCTCAGGGCGTCTCGAAACCCAGAGTCCCGAGGATGTCTCAAGCGAAAGTGGCCGGGCCACCATGGGGCAGGGCATCTCCGAGACCAGAGTTGCGAGGATGTCTCAGGCGAAGGTGGCCAGATCACTTCATGTCAAAGCACGTCGGCCTCCAAATTGCCGACGACGTCTCACGCGGAACTGGCCGGACGCGAACGCGCCGGCGTCCGGAGACGAACGCCGGCCCCGGCATTCTTGCACGTCCCGCACATGCACTGCACAGGTACGCACAGTATTCGCACAGGCCGAGCTCGCCGGTGGCCGAGCCAGGCCAGCGATTCCGAGATTCCCTGAGCTCGGGCCGTCAAGCCACTTTCGCCTGAGACATCCTCGCAACTCTCACCTCCTCCTCCTCCTCCTCCTCCTCCTCCTCCTCCTCCTCCTCCTCCTCCTCCTCCTCCTCCTCCTTCTCCTCTGGCCGAGCCGAACAGGCAGGCGGGCCAGTGGCCGGGGGCGCCCGCCTCCTCCGCCCCCCCCTCCTCCCCCCCCCTCCACCCCCCCCCCCCATCCCTGCTTCTCCGGCCGAGCTGAGAAGGCGCGCGGGAGAGTATTTTATTAGGCGGGCGCGCCACCGCCAGCTCACGAACCGGGCGAATAACCGCCCCCGCCAGCAGCGGGCGAGTCTAAACGCACAACAAACTCTTTCAGGAAGCCCTGGCACGCCCCAGGTTAGCTCTGCGAAGGCCAGGAGGCATTGGAGGCACAAGGGTCCCAGACAGCTCCTAGGGCATGAGCGCGCATGTGCATTGGGATGTGCACGCATGTGCGCCCGCGCGCTTCACCGCGTGTGCGTGCATGTGCGGGCCCGCGCGGCCTCCCGAAGAGAGGTTGCACAGGCATGTGCGTGCATGTGCCGATGACAGATGTGCGATTCTCGAACACCTCCCGCATGTGCAGGCATGTGCGCGCAAACACTGCCAGACCCCACACTGCCAAACAGAACCAAAAACGAGGAGCCAGCCGCGGCGGCGAGGAGGCCAGAACCAGCCACGTCGCCACGGCATGGTCGTCGTCGTCATCCCCGTCGTCGCCGTCGCCGCCCCCATCGTCGTCGTCGTCGACCCCAAAATGGCTCGCCCTCGTCCTCCTCCTCCTCCTCCTCCTCCTCCTCCTCCTCCTCCTCATCCTCCTCCTTGTGCCTTGTTGCTGGCACTTGGGATCTCTTGGGAGCTCTCTGGGGGCCTCTTGGGGGCCTCCTGGGAGCAACTTGGGGCTGCCTGGACGCCTCGTCGGGGCTCCTTGGGAGCACCCTGGAGCTCTCTGGGGGGCTCTCGGGGGCTTCCTGGAGGCCTTCGGGAGCAAGATGCCGCGGCATCTTGCTGGGGGGCGATTTCTGGGATCTCTTAGGAGCCCTCTTGGAGCCTCTTGGGGGCTTCTTGGTAGCTACTTGGGGCTGCCTGGACGCCTCGCTGGGGCTCCTTGGGAGCACGCTGGAGCTCTCTGGGGGGCTATGGGGGGCTCTTGGGGGCTTCCTGGCGGTCTCCGGGAGCAAGATGCCGCGGCATCTTGCTCGGGGGCGATTTTTGGGATCTCTTGGGAGCCCTGTGCAAGCCTTTTGGGGGCTTCTTGGGAGCTACTTGTGGCTGCCTGGACGCCTCTTTGGGGCTCCTTGGGAGCACGCTGGAGCTCTCTGGGGGGCTATGGGGGGTAGGGGAGGGGCTCCCGGGGGCTTCCTGGAAGCCTTCGGGAGCAAGATGCCGCGGCATCTTGCTCGGGGGCGATGTTTGGGACCTGTTGGGAGCCCTGTGGGGGCCTCATGGGAGGCTCTTGGGGCAATTCGGAGCTGTCTTTTTTGGGCTCCTTCGCGAAGAGGGGCTGCAGCACCGAGCGGCTAGCAGAGTGCTGTGCACGAGCGCGCGCGCAGCGCCACTTTGCGCGCCACTCGCGCGGTCTCGACGTGTTGGCTTTGCGGAGCTCGCACAATCGGAAAAAGAACTTCGTGAGTAGCACGCATGGGGACGCGGCTGGAGTCCCCTGCATGATCAAGCCTCCCCACTCCGAGTAGTACAGCCACGACGCGAAGAAGCAGAGCGAGCGAGCTGTCCGGATGACCGGGGGGTTCTTGCAGGTGGTGAAGAAGTCCGCTTTCGACTCTGGCAGTACTTTACCTTGGCCAGGGAATAATACAGTGTTGAGAATCCTACCAGTCCCGAAGGTCGTCCACCAGGTGAGCTGGAGTAGACGCTCTGCCTCCGCTCTCCGTTTCGGGGAAACACCGGTCATTGACAGCAGAAGCACGTAGTAGAAGGGCTCCATGAATTCAGTCGTACCGAGAGACACGAGGTAGTGGTGCATGCACTGGTCTTCTAAAAGGTCGGGTCCTGCCAGTCTTTGATTGAGTTTCACCGCTGCCAACTTCTTTTGGTCTGTCGGTACGTAGATGTAGCGCCGGAAGGCCGCACTGATGCGGGCTTCCTCGGTGGAGGCTGCGCCGGCAGCCTTCCGGGCCGCCTCGGCCGTGCGGCCCTCGTCGGGGCTCCAGCGGCAGGTTTCCGAAAATTGGATCCGCCACCGAGCCCTTGGCACGGTGTGGAATGCCCGAGGGCTCATGCAGCCCCGACGGGTCGAGGATTGTAGTCTTTCAGGGGCCCGGGACGCTCCCAGGACGGCCCCAAGACGGCCCAAGATGGCACCAAGACGGCTCAAGAGGCCCCCCCCCCAGGACGGCCCAAGAGGGCCCCATGGCAGCCCTAAGAGGGGCCCAAGAGGGCGACCAGAAATTCGAAAATCTATTATCCGCCTCGAGTGCCCCGGGAGGCACCGATGGGGGCCCCAAGAGGCCCCAGGAGCCCCAAAAAGGCCCCAAGAGGCCCTCCAAACCGAACCCCAAGAGGCCTCAAGACTGCCTCCCAGAGGCCTTCGAGCGGCCAACCACGATACCCCAACCAATATCCATGAGGCCTGTGGCCCACAATCCTGGCACGGTGGCGGAATGGGCCGAAGACCATTAGATATTCGGGTGAAACCGTCCCAGACAATCCACGGCCTCGTTGCCTGCGTCGCGGGACTGGAAGGCCTCCTTGCTGGAAACGAGATGACGACCCTCGTCTGTGTCGTGCACGCGCAGACTTTTGATACTGTCGATTCGAGATTTGCAACAGCCGCAAACGAGGGGGACACCAGTGCGGCTGCCGATGCCAGTTCCGCCGCCGAAACGGGTGACCAACAGCCTCGCGTGCTCCTGGTTTGCAGCCAGCTTGTCCACCGAGAAAGCGTTGTCGTAGTTCATCTTGGACCCGCAAGCGACGCACTCCATGAAAGCGTCTGTGGACGTCGGGCGCACGATGCTGGACATGGTATCTGCCATCTTGGCGGCGGTCCGTGAGCGAGCGGGTGGCTGTTGGGCGGTCTCCGGAGTCTTCGAGCGGCTAGCTCCCCCCCACCGGGTGAGACCCCAATTCATCTCTCGTATTTTTTGGACCTCCTTGGCCCACGCATCGTTTGTGGACAAATCGTTGTTGGATAGTTTTCTGAAACGCTTGTCACTTGTCCACATGTGGTTCAGTAGCTTGTGCAATTGCGGTTTCAACTTGCCGCTGCAAAGCACCCGGTTGTGGGCACCGCCAAGCGTAACACTGTGCTGCTTTCTCTTTGGCGCCGGCATTTGCTGCCCTGGCGCGGGCTGCGCCGCGAGGGCGTAGAAACGAAGTTCGGCCACGCAGGTTCCTGCGACGGCCGCTCGGTCGCCACTGGAGCCAAAGAGGCTACGGACCCCTGCCTGAGCCTCCCCACGTCGTCGTCGTCGTCGTCGCCGCCGCCGCCGTCGTCGTCGCCGTCGTCGTCGTCGTCCTTTCTCCTCCACCTCCTCCTCTTCCTCCTCCTCCTCCCTCCTCCCCCTCCTCATCATCATCAGCGTCATCATCATCATGCCTCCCGCCCTCCCTCCTCCTCCTCCTCCTCCTCCTCCTCCTCCTCCTCCTCCTCCTCCTCCTCCTCATCTCTCCCTCCCTCCCCCTCCTTCCTCCCTCATCCCTCCTCCCTCCTCCCTTCCTCCTCCTCCTCCTCCTCCTCCTCCTCCTCCTCCTCCTCCTCCTCCTCCCCCAGATCCGCCGCGCGGCCGCGGGGCCTTGACGCGGCGCTGGCCCTCGACCGCAGGCCGGCCAGGGCCAAGGGCTGCCCGACTGCCGGCCGAACCACCGAGGGTCGGCCGAGGGGCGGCCATTTCCCTGCAAGCCACGGGCTGGCTGTAGGAGCCAGCCCGTGGCTTGCAGGCGAAGGACCGTCTAGGGGGGCGCTAGGGGCCGGCAGTCGGGGAGAAGCCGGCTCAGGGCCGCCGGCGAAGGGCCGGCGAGGAGCCGGCAAGGGGCCGGCGGGGGGCCGGCTAGGGGCCGGCTAGGGGCCGGCTGAGCGCCGGCTAAGGGCTGGCTGGCTAGGGGCCGGCTAAGGGCCGGCTAGGGGCCGGCCGGCTAGGGGCCGGCTAAGGGCCGGCGAAGGGCCGGCTAGAGCCGGCTAAGGGCCGGCTAGGGGCCGGCTAGGGGCCGGCTAGGGGCCGGCTAAGGGCCGGCGAAGGGCCGGCTAAGGGCCGGCTAGGGGCCGGCTAGGGGCCGGCTAAGGGCCGGCTAAGGGCCGGCTAAGGGCCGGCCGAGGGCCGGCTAAGGGCCGGCTAAGGGCCGGCTCAGGGCCGGCTAAGGGCCGGCTAGGGCCGGCTAAGAGCCGGCTAAGGGCCGGCTGAGGGCCGGCTGAGGGCCGGCTGAAGGCAATTCAAGAGCTGGCCAGGTCTCCTCAGTTAGGTGTAAAACGCAGGGCTGCACACCTAACTGGCGCAGCGGAACAACGCCCCCCCCGGGGCTTTCAAACCCCGCGCCCCTGGCCCATTGATCCACAAGTCCAGGCCCTGGAACTCGCACGCTGGGCCCTAAGGCCCGCGGCTCCGGGCACTCAGGCCCACACCTCGGAGCCCTCGAACCTTCCGCCCCTGGCTTAGAATCCCCCGCTCTACGCCCGCCGCGGGCCCGTCCCCGGACCCTGAAATCCCCGCGTTGCGGGCCCTGTTGCCCCCGCGGTCCAGGCCCTTCCACCCCCGCGTTGTGGGCCCCGAAGCCCCCGCCCCGGGCCGTTGTCACTGACGCCCCGGGGCGGAACGCGCGCAAGGTCCGGCGCCGTACGTCCGCGACCTTAGACCTTGCATCGTGGTCCCCACGAGGGCGCGCGCGGCGGGGTGCCCCCCCGCGTGCGCGCGCTCTGTCCCCATTCCCGCGCAGCTCCTGGCAAACGAGGCACCTCGCGCAGTAGCGCCCGCGCGCCCCAACCACCTGGTCAAAGAGCCGAAGATCTCGGCGAGGGCGCGCGCGGCGGAGCGCTCCGCGCAAGCGCGCGCGGACGCGCTCGGCTCCGCCGCGCACTGCAGGAGGCGAACAAAGTGGCGGCGCAATCATTGCAACGCGCAGAGGCACGACGCGCCGGCACCACGAGGACCTCGAGGCATGTCCACGCGGCAACGCACCCGGCCGCGAGGCCGAACAGTGAGCAGGCAGCGTCACGGCGCCACAGGGGCGCCCCGCCGCAGTGGGTGGGTGGGTGGTGTGCGGTGGTGGTGGAGGTGGAGGTGGAGGTGGTGGTGGTTGTGGTGGTGTGTATGTGCGCGCGTGTGTTTGTGCGCAGCACCGGGGCCGCGCACATCTGAGAGCACGAAATCGGTGTAGGGCCTGCGACGGCACCGGGGAGGAAAGGGCCCGGGATCATATTCATTCCCCTCCTCCTCCTTCTCCTCCTCCTCCTCCTCCGCCTCCTCGTCATAGTCCTCCTCCTCCTCCTCCTCCACCTCCTCCTCCTCCTCCCCCTCCTCCTCATCATCATCACGAGGAGGTCAAATCGGTAGAGGCACGGCGTGGGCCCCGCGACGAGGCCAGCAGAAGTCGTCAGGCACTGCCGCACGAGACTAGTTCCCCACATGCTTCGTGGGGTTATGGCTTTCTTCCCTGCCGCGCCGCGCCCGCGTCTCCCCCACACCCGCCCTCCTCCCCTCCTCCTCCTCCTCCTCCTCCTCCTCCTCCTCCTCCTCCTCCTCCTCAGCACAGCGCAGCACAGCACAGCAGACCGCAGCACAGCATAGGACAGCACAGCACAGCTCAGCAGAGCACAGCACAGCACGTCTCGGCGACACGCGTCTACATACAGCCGCACGCATGCACACACTCGCACACACAAGACGACACCAGTCCTGGCATAGCAGGCGTGGCACTTTCTCGACACCATAGGGGGTGCGCAGGGGGTGGTCTCTCGCTGCGGTCTCTATACGCCCCAGTCGTCCTGCTATAGCAGGCGTGGCCCCAGTCGTCCTGGCATAGCAGGCGTGGCACTTTCTCGACACCATAGGGGGTGCGCAGGGGGTGGTCTCTCGCTGCGGTCTCTATACGCGCCGGTCGTCCAGGCATAGCAGGCGTGGCACTTTCTCGACACCATAAGGGGTGCGCGGCCGTGCAGGAGTTGCGAGGAGGAGGAGTTGAGAGGAGTTGTGAAGAGGAGGATTTGAGAGGAGTGCGGAGGTGTTCAGAGGAGCGCGGAGGAGTTGAGAGGAGTGCGGAGGAGTGCAGAAGGAGGAGTACAGAAGGATATGAGAGGATGAGTTGAGAGGAGTGCGGAGGAGTTGAGGGAAGTGCGGAGGAATTGAGAGGAGTGCGGAGGAGTTGACAGGATGGGGTGGGACGAGGAGGAGGAGGACGAGGAGGAGGAGGAGGAGGACGACGACGACCACGAGTGCGGCGACGAATACAACGAGCACTACCAACACAACGAGTACGACGACGTCGAGTGCGACGACGACGAGTGCGACGACGAGTGCGACGAGCACGACGACGAATGCGAAGACGAGTACGACGGCGAGGTACGACGACGAGTACGATGACGAGTAAGACGATAGAGCGGCAACGAGTACGACGACGAGTACGACGAGTACGACAACGAGTACGACAAGTACGACGACGATTCGCGACGAGGGTTTAGAAAGCAGCATTGCGCATAGATGATAATGACAAGCAAACACATACGATTCTCGACACCATAGGGGGTGCGCAGGGGGTGGTCTCTCGCTGCGGTCTCTATACGCGCCGGTCGTCCAGGCATAGCAGGCGTGGCACTTTCTCGACACCATAGGGGGTGCGCAGGGGGTGGTCTCTCGCTGCGGTCTCTATACGCGCCGGTCGTCCAGGCATAGGAAGCGTGGCACTTTCTCGACACCATAGGGGGTGCGCAGGGGGTGGTCTCTCGCTGCGGTCTCTATACGCGCCGGTCGTCCAGGCATAGCAGGCGTGGCACTTTCTCGACACCATGGGGGGTGCGCAGGGGGTGGTCTCTCGCTGCGGTCTCTATACGCGCTGGTCGTCCTGGCATAGCAGGCGTGGCACTTTCTCGACACCATAGGGGGTGCGCAGGGGGTGGTCTCTCGCTGCGGTCTCTATACGCGCCGGTCGTCCTGGCATAGCAGGAGTGGTACTTTCTCGACACCATAGGGGGTGCGCAGGGGGTGGTCTCTCGCTGCGGTCTCTATACGCGCCGGTCGTCCAGGCATAGCAGGCGTGGCACTTTCTCGACACCATAGGGGGTGCGCAGGGGGTGGTCTCTCGCTGCGGTCTCTATACGCGCCGGTCGTCCAGGCATAGCAGGCGTGGCACTTTCTCGACACCATAAGGGGTGCGCGGCCGTGCAGGATTTGCGAGGAGGAGGAGTTGAGAGGAGTTGTGAGGAGGAGGATTTGAGAGGAGTGCGGAGGTGTTCAGAGGAGCGCGGAGGAGTTGAGAGGAGTGCGGAGGAGTGCAGAAGGAGGAGTACAGAAGGATATGAGAGGATGAGTTGAGAGGAGTGCGGAGGAGTTGAGGGAAGTGCGGAGGAATTGAGAGGAGCGCGGAGGAGTTGACAGGATGGGGTGGGACGAGGAGGAGGAGGACGAGGAGGAGGAGGAGGAGGACGACGACGACGACCACGAGTGCGGCGACGAATACAACGAGCACTACCAACACAACGAGTACGACGACGTCGAGTGCGACGACGACGAGTGCGACGACGAGTGCGACGAGCACGACGACGAATGCGAAGACGAGTACGACGGCGAGGTACGACGACGAGTACGATGACGAGTAAGACGATAGAGCGGCAACGAGTACGACGACGAGTACGACAACGAGTACGACAAGTACGACGACGATTCGCGACGAGGGTTTAGAAAGCAGCATTGCGCATAGATGATAATGACAAGCAAACACATAATATTCAAAATCAGTATGTGGGGTTCCTCGGTAGCGTAATTTTGTTTGTTTTGGACTCCGCTGAGGATCATCCGAGGACGCCCTGGGGCGCAAAGGAAAACTGTGTTGCGCGCACCGAGCGGGCCCCCCGCCCCCGAAAGAGTCGCGCGAGACTACGCCGGTCCGCGCGGAGTAGGAGACGCAACATCGGCACGCCCATTCCCAGTTCTTGCGGCAAGCACTGTTCGGGGAACCGGGGGACGATCGATACGTTGACATACATTTGAAGGGAAATATACTAGTCGGCGTGGGCCCCAAACAGTAGTTCAACGACGTCGTCGTCGAGACGTCGACGAGACGTCGACGACGACGTTGAGCCTCAACGTCGTCGTCGAGATGCCGCGGCATCTTGCTGGGGGGGGGGGGGGGGGGGCGATTTCTGGGATCTCTTAGGAGCCCTCTGGGAGCCTCTTGGGGGCTTCCTGGGAGCTACTTGGGGCTGCCTGGACGCCTCGTTGGGGCTCCTAGGGAGCACGCTGGAGCTCTCTGGGGGGCTATGGGAGGGCTCTTGGGGGCTTCCTGGAAGCCTCCGGGAGCAAGATGCCGCGGCATCTTGCTCGGGGGCGATTTGGGGGATCTCTTGGGAGCCCTGTGCAAGCCTTTTGGGGGCTTCCTGGGAGCTACTTGGGGTTGCCTGGACGCCTCCTTGGGGCTCCTTGGGGGCACGCTGGAGCGCTGTGAGGGGCTATGGGGGGGGCTCTTGGGGGCTTCCTGGAAGCCTCCGGGAGCAAGATGCCGCGGCATCTTGCTCGGGGGCGATTTTGGGGATCTCTTGGGAGCCCTGTGCAAGCCTTTTGGGGGCTTCCTGGGAGCTACTTGGGGCTGCCTGGACGCCTCGTTGGGGCTCTTTGGGAGCACCCGAGCCGCGCCCGGCCGTGGCGACGGGGGTGTCATAGAACATGCCACTCAAACACACAGTGTGATACACATGATAATGAACGGGCACGGGAAGGGACGGGGCGCCGATACTGCGAGGAGCCGGCTCAGTAGGGCCTGTAGCCGCGTGCTGGCGCTGGTGCGCGCGACGCTGGTGGCGGTGCTGCTGCCGGTGGTGCCGCTGCTGCTGCTGCTGCTGCTGCTGCTGCTGCTGCTGGCGCTGGCGCTGGTGCCGCCGCCGGCGCGACGTACGGCGGCGGAGGGCCGACGGCACCGACCATGTTTCTGATGACGAGCTCGTGGCGCTCGAGGGCTTGAATCTTCGGGGGGTGGGGGGTGGGGGGCGGGCGGGGGCGGGTTGGCGGGGGGTGGGGAAGGGGGGGGGGGGGGGGGGGGGGGAGGGGGGGGGGCATGCGTCGCCGCCAACCCTCCACGGGCCCCGTGCCGTGGAGGACGGGCGGTCGCGCATTCATTTCCCCCCCCCCCCCCCCCCCCCCGCCCCCCCCCTTCCCCCCCGCCCCCCCCCCCCCCCCCCTCCGCCACCACCCCCGCGCCCTCGCCCACCCCCTCTCCCACCTCACCCCCATAACCTGTGCTTCGAGGCGCAGGCGGCTGCGTTCCATCCGTGTCTGAAGCACGGATATCGCGATGGAGAGCGCGGCCAATTGCTGCTGCTGGCACTTCTGGCTCTGAACCTCGACGGAACGCATGCGCCATCACCAAGGCCCCGCATACCCACTTCGGGTCAGATCCTGGCGCACGCGAGCCGGGATGCCGCGTGCGCCAGGATCTGACCCGAAGTGGGCACGCGGGGGCTCGGCGGCGGTGTATACGTTCCGTACCCTAGCACCGCTATGAGCATCTGTTCCCGCATCATCATGACGTGCTGGGCCAGCCCGACCAGGGTGGGGGGCGGGATGAACCCGCTCTGCGGCGCTGCCGATGCTGGTGCTGCTACTGCTGGTAGCGCTGGTGCTGCTGCAGCTGCTGGTAGTAGCGCTGGTGGCACTGCTGCTGCAGCTAGGGCCGCTGCGACCGCCGGGTAGGCGGCGGCGGCGGCGGCGGCAACCGCCGCCGCGGCGGCCGCCGCGCCGGGCGCGTCGGCCATCGCCCGCCGCGCGGGGCCGGGCCTGGGCCCAACTGACTGCGGGCGCTCCCGCAGGCGCTGGAGGGCGGGGGAGGGTGGATCGCGGGTCGGGCCGCCTGGGGCCCACGCGCCACATGTTGCGCCATAGCTTGCGCCATATGTTGCGCTCACCGCTCAGGGCAAGGAAGGCCCGCCGCCCTGTGGCGCCGGTGGCTGCGCCAGTGCGTTGCGCCATAGCTTGCGCCGTGTGTCGCGGCATATGTGGAGTTGCCATTGGGGTTGCGCCATATGTTGCGCCACTGGTTGCGCCGCGGTGCGGTGGCCATAGGATGCGACAACAGCTAGCGCAAACCGTTGCACCATTGCACCATATGGCGCGCCATGGATTGCGCCGCGCCATGGGTCGCGCCCAGGTGGCGGTGGCGGCGACGGGGCTGGCTACGCGTGCATGCATACATGTGTGTACGCGTGTACACGTGTATGCATATTGCTATGGGGGAAAAGAGAACGGGGGTGCGCGCGCGCCGCGTCGGGAGACGGGGCGCGGGAGCCGCTGACCGCGCCGCTGCTCCTGGGCGACGGCGGCGCGCGCGGGCTCCCTCCCTGCCCCCGTCAGCCCCGCATGCCCAGCCCGCCCCTGCCCAAAGCCGGGGCAGGCGAGACCGACAGGGGCAGGGGCCCCCCCGACGCGAGACAGACGCGTTTGCGGCCAAAC